CGCGTGCGTGTCAAAGGGAGACGGAAGGAGGAGGAGGACGGAGCGAGCGTCAGCCAACACTGCCCGCGGCGGCCTCGCGTCCCTCGCGGCGCCCTGGTCGAGCGGCAGGGCAGACTTGAAGAGCTACCACGCACCGCATTGCTCGACCTGCGCAATGCACGCGAGGGCAGGGAAGACGCCGAGGGAGGGGGATCAGCGAACCGAGCGAAACGGGCGCCCCAAGTCGTCGTCGTCACGTCGCCCGGCTGGGTAGAGGAGGGTCGCGCACCTTTGTATAGTTGAGTTGGAGGAGGTCGTTGATCCACGAGATGAGTTCGGTGCGCGACTCGCCCGCCATGGTGATGCGTTGTCCTAGGGGTTGCGACGAGGGAGGGAAGCGGCTCGGGGTGACAAGCAGCGGAGGGGGGCTGCGAGGTGAGGCGGGGGATCGAGTGGGTGTGGAACGAGAGGCTGAGGGCCCAGGTGCTTGACGACGAGAGCGAGTCTGGGGTCGATCTGCCGGCAATCTGCCAGGCCAGTGTTCGTCGCTTGCGTCGCCCTCGCCTCCCTCTCCCTCTCCCTCTCTCTCCTCTTCCCCCACACACCACAGTACTGCTCGCTACCCCTACACACAGCGAGAGCAGTACTGCACACAACACACCAAACCTACCACCACCATCATGCTCCCCGCGCGATCCCTCGTCCGCACCGCCGCCGTGCGCCACCCCTCCTCGTCCTGCACCTCCTCTCTCGCCCATCGGCGCCCCTTGTCCCTCGGCGCCACCCTCTCGAGCCTCCTCCAGGCCAGGCCCGCATCAGACGCCAAGCCTTCTAGCAACAAGGACCAGCGCCCGCCCTCGCTTGATGACTTCTTCGGCGGCTTCCTCGGCAAGCGCAACCCCTCCTCGGACAAGGCCATCCCCGGATCGGCTGGCGCACCCGCCGCCGACCTCGCTCCAAAGGACCCCATCAAGGGCCTCTTTGGTCAGCAGGCAGGCGACACGACCGGCGGGCCCGGGCCCGACAAGAACAAGAAGCGCGGTCAGGACGGCAAGGACGGCAAGGGCCCTGGCGGCGGCAAGAAGGGCGGGCCCGACGGTAACGAAGGTGGGCCAGGTGGCAACCAGCCCCCGAACCCGAGCGCGACCACGCTCGTCGCGACCACGGTGGCCATGTACGTGCTCTACCGCCTCTCGAGCCAGTACGACCCGACCAGCCGCGAGATCACCTGGGCCGAGTTCCACTCTGCGTTCCTCTCAAAGGGCCTTGTCGACAAGCTCACCGTCGTCAACAAGAGCCGCGTCCGCGTCCACCTCCACTCGAACGCCCAGCCCGCCGGCGCCAGCCCCGGACAGGGCAGCTACTTCTTCAGCATCGGCTCGGTCGAGGCGTTCGAGAAGCGGCTCGACGAGGCGCAGCACGAGCTGGGCATCCCGCTCGGCGAGCGCCTCCCCGTCGCGTACCACGACGAGATCCCGCTCGGCCAGACCCTCCTCAACCTCCTCCCGACCCTCCTCCTCATCGGCTCGACCGTGTGGATCTACCGCCGCATGACGGGCGGCGGAGCGGGCGGCCTCCTCGGTGGTGGGGGCGGCGGACCCGGTGGCGGAGGTGGACCCGGAGGCATCTTTGGCGTCGGCAAGAGCCGCGCAAAGATGTTCAACCACGAGACCGACATCAAGGTCAAGTTCAACGACGTGCGCACCTTTTCTCTCACCCGCTCCGGGGGCATATGTGGCGTCAACTGACCCTTCGTCTTCTCGCGCGCGCGTAGGTTGCCGGCATGGACGAGGCCAAGGAGGAGATCATGGAGTTTGTCAAGTTCCTGAAGAACCCCGAGCACTACGAGCGCCTCGGTGCCAAGATCCCTCGCGGCGCCATCCTCTCCGGCCCCCCCGGCACGGGCAAGACGCTCCTCGCCAAGGCGACCGCAGGTGAAGCCGGCGTCCCGTTCCTCAGCGTCTCCGGTTCCGAGTTTGTCGAGATGTTCGTCGGCGTCGGCGCGTCCCGCGTCCGCGACCTCTTCGCCCAGGCCAAGAAGAACGCGCCCGCCATCGTCTTCATCGACGAGATCGACGCGATCGGCAAGGCGAGGGGCAAGGGCGGCCAGTTTGGCGGCAACGACGAGCGCGAGTCGACGCTCAACCAGCTCCTCGTCGAGATGGACGGGTTCGGCACGGGCGAACACGTCGTCCTCCTCGCCGGCACCAACCGCTCCGACGTCCTCGACCCGGCGTTGATGCGCCCGGGACGGTTCGACCGCCACATCAACGTGAGCAACCCGGACGTGGGCGGCCGCAGGCAGATCTTCAACGTGCACTTGCGCAAGCTCGTGCTCGACATTCCGCGCCCGGAGAAGAAGGCCGAGGGCACGGCGGCGGAGGAGGCGGACAAGCACGCCGACGAGGGCATCGCCGAGGGGTCGTCGTCGTCTGGCGGTGGTGGGTCGGGCGGCCAGCCCGCGATTGCGCACTTCCAGCCTGCGCTTGACGGTGCCGTCTCGTCGTCGACGTCGTCGTCGTCGCCGTCCGCTGCCATCCTCCGCGCCTCGCCCGCCTCCGACGCACCGTCCTCCTCTTCCTCCCCCGACGACGCTTCCGCCCCCGCCGCCGCCCCCGGCTCCGCCCCGCACAGCAACTTCCAGTCCATGTACACCCTCAAGGCCGACGACCAGCCCGACCCCAACTCGCCCCTCGGCAAGCTCATCGCCAAGCTCGCGGCCCACACGCCGGGCTTCTCCGGCGCCGACATCGCCAACGTCGCCAACGAGGCGGCGCTCATTGCCGCGCGCCTGGGCGCCAACGCCGTCAGCGAGAAGCACTTTGAGATGGCGATCGAGCGCGTCATTGCGGGCATGGAGCGCAAGAGTCGCGTCTTGGACAAGGACGAGAAGAAGACGGTGGCGTACCACGAGGCCGGGCACGCCGTGTGTGGGTGGTTCCTCGAGTGGGCCGACCCGCTGCTCAAGGTGAGGAGGACCGACTGTGGCTCCCGTGGCTCAGGGCGTGGCGCAGTGTGCTGACCCCTTCCTCCCCTCCCCATCTCGCTTTTTTCCCCGCCCTTGCGCAGGTGTCGATCGTGCCTCGAGGCGTCGGTGCCCTCGGCTACGCGCAGTATCTGCCCAAGGAGCGATACCTGTACTCGACCGAGCAGCTCGTCGACCGCATGTGCATGACCTTGGGCGGGCGCGTCGCCGAGGAGATCTTCTTCAAGCGCATCACGACGGGGGCGCAGGACGACCTCCAGAAGGTGACGCGCATGGCCATGGAGGTCATCGCCAACTGTGCGCTCTCTCCCTCTCTCTCTCTCTCTTCGCCAGCTCGGGTGTCGAGCCGTGTGCTGACTTCGACCTTGCCCCGGCCTTCCCCCCTTCTGTCTATTCACTCCCCCTCTCTCGTGATCCCCTCCCCACGACGACCATCACTTGTGCGTGTGACCCAGACGGCATGAACCCCGCCGTCGGCCCGCTCTCGTACCGCCAGGACCAGGAGTCGTTCCAGAAGCCCTTCTCGGAGAAGACGGCGCAGCTCATCGACGACGAGGTGCGGTCCATGGTCCGCCGCGCGCACCAGCGCTGCCACGACCTCTTGACCGAGAAGAAGGAGCAGGTCGACAAGGTGGCGCGCGTCTTGCTCGACAAGGAGGTCCTCAGCCGGTGCGTCCCCTCCCTGTCTTCCTTCCTCTCCTCTCTCTCTCCGTCGCTCGTCGCTGACGATGTTCGACCAACAGGAGCGACATGATTGCCCTCCTCGGCCCGCGACCGTACGGCGACGCGTACGACGACGCCGTCTCGTTTGGCTCTGCCGCGCCCGAGCCGACGGGCGGCAAGGACGCCCCCTTTGGGCAGGGTGTCGAGGGCGGACTCGGCGGTGGGATCGGCAACGACGTGCCCAGTCCCAAGGGCATCGAGGAGGGCGCGAGGTGAGCGTGTGCATGCGTGATGAGGAGGCGGCGCGGCTGAGCCCGCCTCGAGGGAGACCCGTCCCTCGCTTTGTTCCCTCTCCCCCCGACTCGCTCTCTCCCACATAGTCTGTAGCTGTATCAACTTGAGCCTCCAAGAGCGCAACGCACGATTCTATCAAAGCTGGTCGCTTGTGGAAGAAAGTGCAGCAGGAAGGCTCGTGCACGCGGTTGTGCCGATCTTGCGCATGGTCAGCGGCGGGCGCAGATCGCGGCGCTCGAGGACGGACTCCAGACGTGCGTGTGAGGGTGCGAGAGCGTGCAAAGGGACGTGGGTCGACCGCCTCGGGCCCGGCGGCCCCGTCACCTCCTAGCCAGGTCTCGACCTGACACGCATACGCTGCCGCCCTGCCCTTGAGTCGTCGGACAGCAAGATGCGACCTGCTCGGCTTGCCACACGCGTGCAGTGAGCGCGAGGCACGCGGCGGGTTCCAGCCCCAGCAGGAGGAGGAGACTTGGGAAGGTCGAGCGCGGAGGCAGCGCGGTGGCTTACCACGAGGCCGGGCACGCCGTGTGTGGGTAATTCCTCGAGTGGGCTGACCCGTTGCTCAAGGCGAAGAGGACCGAATGTGGCTCCCATGGCTCGCTCAGGCCCGGCCGTGGCGCCTGACCCTTTCCTCCCTCTCCACTCCCCCTCTCTCTTGACTCCCTCCCCACGACCACCACCTGTTTGAGAACCAGACGGCATGAATCCCGCCGTCCGCCCGCTCTCGTACCGCCAACACGGGGGCCGAGACGCCAGGCTTTTGCGGGGCTTGAGCGCAATGTGGCCTCGAACGACGGACGGGTTTGGGCTGAACGACACGATCGTACTGATAGGAGCCGACGAGAACCCTCCAGAAAGCTTTGCGACGCTGCTGGTCGGCCTTCAGTCACGGCAAGGGCGACAATGCCGAGGAGGAGCTCGGTAGGGAGGCGCGGGGGGTGGCGGAGCTCCTGTGTGCCGGTGCTGACCTCCCGATTTTCGCGTGAGCTTCTGCGGCCGGCCAGAGAAGGCGAGCCAAGTCGGGGAACGGGGCGCTCCACCCCGATGCAAGGCGGCTCGAGCCACACTGGCGCCGCTCAACTGCGGCGACCACTCTCTGCGGCTTTCAGCTGCCATTGTGCCTCTCTTCTCTTCTCGTCTCGTCAACGGACTGCGGGGCGGCGAGGCTAGATGGACAAATGCGCGATACAGGGAGAGGGCAAAGAGCGACGACGAGGAGCTGAGGGGACGAGTACAACACGAGCGAGCGCCGGACAGCGAGATACAGGAATAGTCCCCAAGAGAGGACGACAAAAGAGCGACTGGTCGAGCATCAGAGGCGCTTCGCGCCTCAGCACGACACCTGCGCTCAGTGAACCGACGCCGCCGCGTTGACGAGCGCGAAGCGGCGAGCACCGGCGCCCGTACTCTCGACGTCGCGCAGCAGGCGGTCCAGGGGCAAGTGTGCGTTGCGCGTTGCGCACTCGGGCGTCGACGCCGCGACGGCAAAGCGGACGCGGCGCGCGGCGACGAGGTCGGCCGTGCACTCGCGCGCGAGGGGGGACGACGAGGCGCGCTGCGGCTGGCGGCGGGCCTTGGGGGCAGCAACAACGGCGGCGAGAGTCGGACGGCCGAGGACGGTTGCGAGGTGGGCGTCCATGTGGATCTCGACGCGGCGCTGCAGCCTCGCGCGGCGCTGTGAAGCGCTCGCACGCGCCTTAGGTGGGCAGCGCGCCGTCGCTGCCAAGAGTGAATGCTCGTAGGCCTCCTCTTGAAGGACGAGACGCTCGCCGTGGACGCGGGCAGCGACGACCGCCGCCCTCGAGCCGAGCTGGGCCTCGTGGTCGCCGAGCCACGCGCACAGGGCGCGCTTCTTGATGAGCCCCGCCGGGGTGAGGGCCTTGGCGTGGAGCAGCGACGACGACGACGACGGCGACGACGTGCAGTGAGCGTTGGAGGGCGAGCTCGAGGCAGTCGAGGCGACGCGAGGCTTGGGGAGGGACGAGGCAGGGCGA